AAAAAAAATAAAAATAAAAAGCTTCTCTTTAGGAGGAAATACTCCGCATTAACTAATACAAACAGCAATGCAGTATGGTTCAACTTTCCTTTCTTCTTATATACTAGCTGGAAGACTTTATGGTTAGTTAGCATAAGACCTAATTTCCTCAACTGTAAAGTGATGGGGATATAATGGTAGGGTATAATAAAAAAATTGTGATACGTAATTCCAGGTTGCTGGAATGATCAAGGAGGCGCTTGGTCATTAAGGCTTACTCCTTCACAGAATTGTTACTCAAATGTTGGCTGACTGATCATAAATAGAAGGAAGGGTTTGTATAGCTGTGCAGCTAAGTAATAGCTACCTACAGTCACTCCAGCTCAAATCCAGCAATGGAGAACTCAGTTAGTGGACATATGCTGTTAGACATACAATGAATCTCCTTACTTAATACCTACATTGCCCAGGTAGCCTTCTACTCACTTTATGTGACTACATTAATAGTCAAAGTAATTTCCTAGTAAATTTTACTGAATCTTGTTTTGCCATAGGGCCAGTTAGAAATTCTCTTGTCTAAACAGGCAAATTAAAAGGCATTAGTTCATTTTACCTCCAGCAAAACTTCCTAAACCTGGAAGATTAAGCATCAGAATACTAAATGGGCCTCTACCAAGCCTGTAGAAAAAGCAGAAGCAGAAACACTTCCTGCTTGCAAATGTAGCTTCTATGAGCCAATATCTAGCAAACTTTCCACAAAGCAGTCCTGAGACAAGAGAACCAACACAGTAGCCAAGGGTAGCCTTAAGTATCCAGATGGGTTTGCCCTTTACCCCTTGAGGGATGGCTGGACTTACACATCTCTGTACTCCTTGAGGACTCTGTTTGTATAAAATGTGGCAGCATCATTCATTTCTTTCACATAAGGACCAGGCTTGGGAGCCTAGAGAAAGAGAAGGTGTCAGTGAATAAGAGCCTTTCTAGACTTATCTCCTTACCTTTTTCATCCTATCCTTTCCCTCCCATGTTAGATACGCTGCTCACCATTGCCACCCAACCCAGGGCCTGGATACTTTCGCTAACAGCTGACAGGTGATTGAACAACTTGCTGCCTCGGTTCTTCTCCCGCAAGGTTATCACTTCTTGGATTTGCTCTGAGATGGGTGCCAGCAAATCAGAAAGCTTATCCTAGAAAAAGATGTAGGAAAAGATTCAAGTTAGAGTCTTTTCACAAAAAGCTTTGTTGGTCAACTCTGATCCTGAAGGCAAGAATTCTTTATGGATGCAATGAGCATCCAAATAAACTTTGTATTCATCTTATACAGAGTCACATGGCTAAAATGCTGCTCATCATCTCTCTCCTCATAGAATTCCAACTCCTCAGGCTGGATTTTGTGGTTCTTCATGATTAGGACCCACACTCCAGCTATACCACAAAATTCTACCATTTCAGCCACTTGTTTCTTTTCTGTCCCACTAATAGGAGATACTAGTTCATTTCTAGGCCTTTACTCATGATGGGCTCTTCTTTTTCCATTTATCCAAATGTTCTTCATAATTCATGAGGAACAGCCCTCCAAATCCAGCCACACTACAGCATTTATTGTCAGCATAACCAATTGTGGCACATTATCACACACTAGGCTCAAACTATTAATGGACCCAAGTAAATGTTTTTCTTTCTCATTAATTCTTAAAAGACAAGGGCTTTGTCCTAGCCCTATTTTATAATCCTTATAACCTTCAACACATTGCAAACCACACAGCAGCTGCTGAATAGAGATCTGATGAATCGAATGCAATTAGGGGGCTTGGCATCTGAGCACAGGCAGCTTAGCAAAAGGGATGGATCTTGTTTCTGTGTTTTTATCCTTCCTCCAAAGCTCAGTTTCCTGAGCATCTCAATTCTCAGCTCTTAGCATGGAAACAGTCTAAAGCAGGCATCGGCAAACATTCTGTAAAGAGCCAGACAGTAAATATTTCAGGCTCTAAAGACCATACAGTCTCTGTTGCAATTTCTTAACTCTGCCATTGTAGTGCATAAAGCAACAATAGATGAAATTTAAAAGAATGAACATAGCTTTACTGCAAAACCAACCAACCAACCAACCAACCCACCCTTCATTTACAAAATAGGTAGCAGGTCAGATTTGGCGGGCAGACTATCAGAATTGGCTTGCAGGCTATAGTTTGCCAATCCCTAGACTAAAGCAAGGGAAATATAATAGTGTCTTAGGTGTTTGATTTGTTTTGGGGAAAAGGTTTAGAAGAAATGCTTTAACCATTCAAGACAGATTAAGAATTGATGTCTAATATATTTAACATCATCTTATGCTATTTTTACACTATTTAGGCATGCTTAGAGTCCAAAGGTTTTAATACAGCATTAGCAGGAAGACTCATCTTATTATTACCCTTCTGCCTAGGGAAGCCAAATGCAAAAAAAAGAAACAAAACTAAAATCTTGGGCTCGGAGAAAAAAATCTAAATTTTCTCTAGTTCATTTCACACCCTGGCAGCATAAAATTCTGAGGTAGAGTTAAAGGGAGATTTGTTCAACCACTGAAGGATGAAGGGAGAAGCAGTACTTTAGAAGTTTTAGGATCTCCACAGCAGCATGGTTAAAGCCTACTCACAGTGAAGCAAAAGAACCACTCTGTGACCCAAAGGGCTTAGGGGACAATGTGACAAATTTAGCCTCCAATTTCTCTATTAAGAGAAGCAGCAAAGTCTCACAAGTAATGACAGTCCTAAGTAAAATGACAGAAGAAAGGCCAGTAGAGCCCAATAAATACTCAATGGCATATTCCTATGGCACTTTAAGTCTGACTCTACTTCTGGAACTTGGTGTGACTGTACATGAGGCTGGTAGGTCGATTTTAGCACACTGTGATAGCTTAGCAGAAACCTCCCAACTTGTCCTGAGCATCAAACCAAAACAAAATCAACCAGTAGTGAACTTACAGCTGCTGGCTGCTGGCACTGAGAGGCTGTAACCAAGAGAGCTTGCTCCAACTTTAGACCTTTGTAGACCATCTCCGCCTGCCGGAAAGAAAAAGAATCAGCTATCGATGATGAAACATTACAACTGGAGAGGTCTTGAAAAGAATAACCTAGTGGTAGCAAATAACCAAGTGGTAGCAACCCACACACTTTCCCCAGGCATTCCAGAGTCTAAGGACTGATCGTAGAATTACAGAGACCACTGTTCCTGCTGGAACTGATCAGGGATACGTATCTAGGAAATGAGGTTAATCAGAGCAAGCCTTAGATGAGGTCAAGTTAGCAATTGCACATGCAATGGATATAAAGTGTACTCCTGCCCCTCATCACCAAAGAAAACCTCTTTTCTCAAAAAAATAAAGATAGGAAAAAAGACAAAGGCCTAAATTTATGCCTAAAATTCTCAAGGTATTCACTTCATTAGGTTAAAGCTATTAAACAAATGTTGAATCATGATCCATTCTCAGGTAATTAATCAAATCAACTTAATGAGCCATAACCAGCACTTTATTAAGTGAAATAGAACAGAAAATTAAAAAAGAGTGCAGTACATCAGCATGAAATTACTTCCAAACAAAAAGTTTTTAAAAAGTTCAATACAACTAGTATAAGCATTATTTTGTAAAACTTATCTCAGTTATAAATACGGATTTTCTTACTGAAGGTCCTGGTCAAAAAAGTTTAAGAAGTATGAGGCTATAAAATACAAAAGTTCAAATAAGGTAATCTATTTTTTCTGCATGTATATTTTTAAAATATAAAAGTGATACAAGTTAAAAATTTTTTTCAAATGTTAGACTGTATAAAGTAAAAACGCAAACCCCCACACTCCTATTTAAGTCTCGGTCCCACACTCGAGAGCTAACACTATTGCCAACAGATGGTATCTAGGAGACTCAAAATATATCTTCTAAGGATCAGGCAACCACCCTTGTCGAAGGGTCAGCAAGATCCTTAAACATGGTTACTGTTTACAAAGGATCACTCCGATAACTAGCAGGAAGACTCTGCCCAAAGAGAGAGACCAAATATGTATATGAGTGTGGGGTGGTGGTGATGACGTGGGTGGCAGTACGTGAAGGGAAGTGGGTGGAGAGGCAGCAGCACATCTGAAGGGAGGTGGGTGGAACCACCTGTCATTGCCTACTTCATATTCTTGCTGTGGGCTAAGTGTGAAAATAACTCATATTAGCATAAGAAATAGCTATCAAGTATAGTTTTATAAATGCTAAGTCACGATAATGACTCTTTTGAATAAGCCACCCTGGGCTTGATTATATAACATGCTGGGATGAGACTGGTAGCATGTTCTCACCACAAAGAGGAACCAAGCCACATTTTATGCACCAAGCAAGTTATCTGTATAAAAGAAGCCCACGCAGAATATGTGATAAAAGCAAGGGGCCTGGAAAAATCTAAGGAACCATTTACAGTGCCTGGACTCAATACCAGGCAGGAGTTAGCTGGAAAGAAGCTAAGAGTCTCTTAAACCAAGGACAAGAAGGATTTGAAGAAAATGGGAGAAAGAGGGAAAAACATCCTTACATGTTTCTGCACATCTCCTCCAATCTCTTTACTAATCTTCAGGTACTCTGCCACGGAACCAGCAAGCAGTGAGTCAAATGCTTGCACATAAGGAACTGTTCCTGATGAAGATAGGCACACCACAAAGAATCAGTCGTGCATCAGAAAGATTAATTGTTAAAAGGCACTTCCATATAAAGTGGAGAGTCAAGGCTATACAGTAAACAGAATACTAGAACATGGGTCGGGAAATCTAAACCTAGGATCTAGTTCCAATACCACCACTAACTGGTTGTATAACCCTGACTAAGCCCCTTTTCCTCTTTGAGCTTAATTTTCTTTATCTATAAAATGAAAATCAACAAAACGATCCCCCAAGGTTCCTTTTAGCTCTAACATTCGATTGGTGCATATGCAAAATGACCAATATGCCAATCATCTGAAGACAGAAAATTTTATGATCACTTGTCATTTGACTTGTACTGGCGTCATTCTGCTAAAGAAAGAACAGGAAATAGCACACAAGCAGGAAGTTCTTGCATTAAAATAACTTAACCACAGGCCTCCTTGCACAAGTCACTTCCTCTGTTCACAGCAATACGAATTACAAGCTATGAACTTTCTAGATTAAGTGTTTTGGGAAGCTGGCTCCAAAGGAGAGAATACACTGCGAGAGAAAAATTTCAGGCCAAGACACTGAGTCTTCAATGTATATTACTTACCTTTTGTATCACGGTCTCCGTACCCACAGTGCATGTCAGAGGCATGGGATACTGCCTCCAGGCGGCCCACTACTCTCTCCAATCTTTCTACCAGATTTTGCATGTCAGCCATAATGCACCACCTGCTGAAACAGATCAAATGTCATTTGTTGTATTAATATTACATAGTACCTAAGGAGAGAAGACAATAGGGAGTGAAGAGATGCCAATTCTGAGGGAAAGAATCATTTAATAATAAAATGAGATGGAAAAATAGTCTAGCATATTTGCAAAATCATAAAGACCTCAATAAGCAAGAGAACTACCCAACAGAAGGTGTTCACTGAAAGCAAATGTTCACTTATTCAAATACTGAATATTTACAATACCATGAAATATCGTAATTTAGAATTTACAAAGTAGAGTCACATATATTATCTTAGTTTGTGCCTTCCAACAGCTATTCAGGGATGGAAAGATCATTAATTATCATGCTCTTAAGATAGAAAACTTAAGTTCAGTGTCCTTTCCTACAACATTCTGCTGTCTGCATATAAATGCCCAAACCAAGATAAATAGGATACTTAGCATGCCATGCCTTCAATATCTTAGTCTGATACAGGGGGCTTGACATGTACAACTATAAAACAAATAGAAAAAAAAAAATAATAAGGTGATCTAAGATAGGATAATACAGGATTTCAGAAAGGGGAAGAACATATGCTTGGAAGGATCAGATAAGGATAGCATAGAGAAGCTGCCATTTGAGCCAGGCTTCAAATAAGGATGGAGAAGGATCTGGATATGTGGTAGAGAAGAACAGACACATTCAGAAGAGCTTTTACAGATCTTTCACTAATTTATCTGAACTAGCTTCATTCAGTGTCTAATACCCTAAAGAAAGTAAGCTTCACCAGAGCAGTGACCTTCTCTGCTTTGTTCCCTATTATACTCTACCATCTAGACCACTACCTGACAGGTAGAAGACATTCAATAAATACTTATGAAGCTGAATGTCAATGCTTATCGAAAAATTTTTTAAAAATTTAAATAAGTAAATATATATATATGAAGTTAACCTGAAATATAGCATCCCAAAACTCCAAAGGGACAAGTGTTCTGAAAGCTGCCCATTCTATACACATAAATAAGTATTAAATGTTATCGATATATAGCTATTTAAAATGCTTGAGACCATAAGTGAGCTCATAAAAATCAGTGAAATTTCAATCAAAGCCTTGACTTGGGAGAGATACCATTTCAAAGCATTAATTAGTTCAGGTAACTGAAGGAGAATGAACTCAACTCCCTTGAACCTGCTTAAAATGACCATTGCAAAGATGACATCATGCCAGCATATCTCAACTCAACACGTTGTTGTCCCTGTGGAAGAGATAAGCAGCTCACAAGATAAAGGATCCCTGTCCATTCTTTTCGGTGTATGGGCTCTTGTCTCTCTGGGCCCAGTGACTTGCCAGAGAATGTTATTTAAAAGAGAATCAAAGGAAAAAAGGAGAATGTAAACTAAGAAAACCTTGGCCTGAAGACGTAGCAGCAGCCTCTAAGTCTCTGCTCTACTCACAAATAAGCCAGACTAGAAACAGCCAATATATTCTCCCTTATGTTATGCTACCATCACCCGAGTCCCTGAATTACTGCCCATTCTGGGTACTGTCCAGGGACAAACTCACATATAATTCACCACACTCAATAAATCCCAGGGGAAAAGGCAGCAAATGCAATAAGTTCCCAAGCTATCTTCCATTAATAGATACCACCAGTTCTGTTATAAAACATGTTCCTTCATACAAAATGAGTCCTACAGGTTGAGACCAGTGTTAACGTGGAAACACAGTACAAGTATCCCAAAAGATTGCTGGGGTTGGTGAACACTTACCAATCTTAACATCTTAATACAGTTTCATGGGATTTGGTTCCTTTTTTCTATTTCACTTGTAAGCTTTCACTGCTAAACAAAAGCTATAGTTCTGCTGTCTAACTTAAGCAGAATGAAAAGGGACATCACAGCTATGATTTATAGCTAACCTCATTCTACCATTAACCAAATATAGAACAGTAGCTAGTTGTTTGTTGTTGTTGTTGTTGTTGTTGTCGGTGGTGGTGGGATGAAATGTGAGATGTTAAGCAAAAGAATGTCCAGAATTGAAGACACCAAAAGCCACACCTCGTCTCATTGTCTATGCACACATATTCACATTCTTTAGGTGGTCATGTCCACTCTCAAGCCTTCCACTACTATATCACAGTACCATCCAGCCAGTGGTACCACCACAACCACTATAGACTAACAACTCCCAAAGCAGTACATCCAGTTCAGGCCATTCTGGGATTCTGGATTTTAGATCTAGCTTCTACCTAGCCATGTCTACCTGGATGTCTCAAAGGCAACTCAAACTGAAATATCCAAAACAGAACTCATCATCTTCCCACTCCACCACCTCAGTAATCCAGTATTACCATCAATCACCTGACTGACCAAGATAGTAACCTGGTAACTGCTAGGTTAACAGCACGGTCTTCATAGAAGTCTGACAGATTGGAGGTTTGAACAATAGCATTCCTTAGCTCTGTGACTATGAGTGTTAACAAACTTCCTGAGCCTCATCCTCATGTAAAGCAGACAATAGTACAAAATCCAAAGGGCTGGAACTGGTCCTGCTTTATCTCTCAACACTCCCCCAGTTTTATCTCTTGCCACACCTTTCCTCAGCACACTATAGCAATCCAGGACTATGTGCACATTCCAGAAACAATCATGCTTTTTCTCACTTCTGAGCCTTTACAATGCTATCCTCTTTGGTTGGTTGCTTTCTCTTCCCAAATCTGTCCCATCTTAGAACTCCTGATGCCTTTTAAGACTCAACTAAAATACTGCCTGCTCCAGAAAGCATTTCCAGTTTGGTATGCTTGTCCTTCTCAATCTGCCCCCTTCTCCATTAAGTCTCAGCTAAGGAATCACTCCCCAAGAAGCATGTCCAGTATGTGCTCTCACAATGTCATGCACTTTCCTCTACCACACATTTATGATTTTAAATCATTTACTTAATAGTCAACAGGCAATTAGCCACCCTAGGGCAGGGACTGTATCTTTGTAATTTCAGGACTATAAATGTAGTAGGCACTATAAATACAGTAGGTTGGTAAGAGTTCCTGAAAAAAAAAAAAAAAAAATAGTAAGGCCCTCTCTCCCCTCAACACAAGCCTGGATATCTCCTCTCTCTGATGAATCTGGGGAGAAGTGTATTTTTCTACTTCTTTCTTTTTTGCTTGTCTATTTGCAGGATCTTACAAACACTTCCATTTTTCAAATAAATGCTGCTTTCTTGGGCACAAATCACACTGACATAGAGATCTTTAAACCAAGTACCATAAGGAAAATAAAATAAGCTTGTTTATTAGATTATATAACATTAATTTAAAATAATACTCCTTTTTAGCTTTAGGTGCGTTACAGCACCAATCTATTGCTCCTTTTGAGACTTAAAAAACTTCTGTGAGTTATGTTATGAAGACACTAAACTCCATTTTTAGAATGAAAAAGTCGACAGAAAGTTTAAAAAGCTTGCCAGATATCAAATAGCCAGCAGGTAGAGACCCTAGGCCTGGAGCACAAATTTTCTGAATCCTAGTCTGAGGCTCTTCCTACCACTCCACATGTCTTTCAAGCGATTAAGTGACTATGTGGTTCATCAGAGCATACAGCACCCAGTGTTTGCTGAGCACAGCACTGTGGATTCAAAGCCTCTTTATGGTGTCTTTAGTAACATTATTATTAGCAGCTCTCAATTTTCTTCATGGAGGCCAATATTTTTTCACATTCAGGCTAGATGACACATGTTTAGAAGGCAAATGTTTAAAACAAGGGTTTTCTTCAAGTACAGAAATGCCAGAGTGGAAAATGCTGCCTAATCTTGTTCTTTGCTATTTCTGATAACAAGAGCCAAGAACTATGTGTAAACGTCCATAAATGAACATACAGATTCCCAACTATTTAAGCATTCATTATAAAGCTTCAGAAAGAGAGGTGGTATCCTAATTACACAAATCTAAATAAAATTAGGATTCAGGAGATTAAGGTTTGAGTCCCAACTCTGCCACATATTTACTGTATAACTTTAGGGCAGTCATTTAATGGATCCTCATCTAGCACGCAGAGATATAAGGATCAAAGGAGTACATTTTATAGATGAGTAGTCACTTTGGGAGCCTTAAAATACAGTTCAAATGTAAAATGTTACCACTGCACACTGTATGCTAGAATATAGACCCTCCCTCCCACCCTAGGATGAAAATTTATCCATTCTCCTCTCCTGCCTCCAGCCCCATCAAATTGCAGCACCTAGACAACCTGGCACACAGAAGATGCTCATAAAATGAAAGTGCTAAGCACTGCAGTGACTACTGAAGATATAGAAGACGCCTGGTCCCTGCCCTCCAAAAGCTTTCATTCTTATTGGGAAGGCCAACACAGATGAAATGTCAATGGAATAAATATGGAAAATTAATTTTTTTAAAGTTATGTTAGAGATGATATAACTTCACTTGGATCAGGGTAAGTTAAAAGTATCAGCCTTTATACTAAAGTCTTTTCTTTGCAGAATATTGTATGGTTCTGAGTTATATAGTATAAATGACTATGTGTTCTGAGAGTTTAGAAGAAATCAATGAGGACTGGAGGTGGTCTGGTTTCAGGAGGGAAGAGAGGCATCTTGATGGAAAAAGTAAAAGAAAAAAGGGAAGACATTCCAGAGCTATCAGAAGCAAAGAGGGGAAACCAAAGAGGCTATATACAGAAAGTATGAGTAGGTTAGCCCACATAGAGCATGCAGTATGAAGTATGACAGGAAACAAGGCTGGATAAGCCAGGCTAGGTTATGGAGGGCACTGAAAGCCAAGCATATTTGCATTTGATGCTATGATAAATGTGAAGGCATTCAAGGGTTTGAGTGAAGGAATATGATGAAATCAAAATTTTTACAAGTACTGTCTGATAAACAGAATAGCATTTGTAAAAAGAAAGATACTAGGATCTAGGTTAGGTTGAAATAGAAAGATACTAGGGTCTAGGTTAGGTTGAAAGCTGTTGTTCATCTAGCTGTAAAATATGAAGGCTACTGTAAAAAGTATTTTTTATATTTCAAAGGAAAAAATCCACAACATCTAGTGTCTAACCAGATTGAGAAACTAAATTAAAAGAATCAATTAACCTACAAAAATCAGTTTTAGGCACTAAGTAACCAGCACCTGAATTAAGTGCTGTGGAAATATAAAAGAATGATAAAATAGTTTTTCTGCCCTAAGGGAGTCTAGCAGGAGACACAAGGCTACCTTCCACTGAATCACTGACTCTTAGGATAAGGAGGGAGTGTAGAAATCATCTTGTATAAACATCATCTGATACCAGAACAGTACTTTCAACATTCTCAGCAATTAGTCAGGTAGCCTCTGTTCAAATACCTTCAGTGTGGAGAACACGAGACTTCTGGAGGCAGCCCATTCCATTCAGACAGCTCAAAGTATTTAAAAGTTCTTCCTTATATGGACGTAAAATCAGCGTCCCTGCAACTTCCACCCACTGATCCTGGTTCTGCCCTTGGAGGTCACACAAAACAAGTTTGTATTAAACACAGGATAAGTACTAACTGTGGTACTGACTATTGAGGTACAGTAGCATTTACAGAAGGGACGCCAGAGTTGCAAATCCAGTGGCCAAAGAGACTGATGACACTACAGGCAGAAGCATGTTATGCAATGTTCTAGTTAGGGTAAGAAGATGAGGTCAGTTTGGATATGAGGAGAGTGAAGAGACGATGAAGCTTCCAATTATTTCCAATAGTTAGAAATAAAGCTTAGGGAAGGATCAAGGCTAGAGATAAATGTTTGCAAGTCACTGGCAAAGAAATGTCATGAAGTCATGAGAATGGAAAGGCTCTGGGAGAACAATCATGCAGAGCAAAAAGAAACTAGGAGCTTGATTCTCCAGCAATTTCTTTTGTGGTCTGAAACCAAGAAAAATCTGAAATGCTAGTGATTCCTGTCACAGCTGCTTCATACTCTCATTATTCTAACAATTCAAACAACCCAATTCTTCTGCCTATTCAAGGAAGTCGTTCAGAAGTAAATGGAACCAGGTTACTCCTGCAGCTCATAGCTCATCTCACCAGGCAATTAAGCCAGTGGTATGAATTTTACTTGAATTTGTTTCTCTAAGTCATACCCTTAAGTAAAATTGAAAGGAAAGAACTATACAAGTTAGTTTATATACTATGGTAGCCCAACTGATCTGCTTCAAAATGCTTCTCTTGGCCTTGACTTTGTAATTCTCTTCCTGAGATGTTATCCTAAGAAAGTAATCCTAACGTGGGAAAAGTGAGAGGTAGAAGGTGTTCACTGCAATGTTAGCTTAGACTTCTGGTTATAAAGGAATAGCTAAATGTAACTGAGGAAAAAGACTTGACGAAAACACAAAATTTAAAATATTTGTCACAGAGTAATGGGGTTTTCCCTCTATATTTTCTGAATTTTCTTTAACAAAATTGTATAACTTCTTTATACTGAAAACAAACAGCTCCCCTTGGATATATCTCTTAAACTACCACTGAGCTATAAGGCGTTAATTAGTTACATTCCTAACAATATAGTTCTCATCACCAGGCTCTAACATGTCACAAAGCAAGACTAAGTAAGATATGATAATAGGAGATACTTACAAGTTGGCTGTTTTAATCCAGAAACCAAAGAACACACTACTTTGACCCAGCAAAGATGCCATCTAAATCTAACCCAAATCAGGAGCTACTGTTCTTCCCCAAGCATTTGGTTTCGCTGATGAAACCAATGACATTTAGTGCCTGAGTCACTGCCACCTGAGGTTTAGATGAAAAGAGAAAGAAAAGCCTATCTTCTAGGGAGGGAAAGAATCCAACTCAATATTAGCATTTGTCTCCTTCCTTAAACATGGTCCTCTGAAACTCCAGGAGTGAGTAAAGGTGATAACAGTGTACAAGCTGAAGTCAGACTTGGGAAATAGCTGTTTCAATGCTTTGGGGCAAACAGATAACTGCGTGGCCATGGGTTCCTCTCTCTTACATTCAAGGAATATTATGAAGACTAACTTCCTAACAACATTCAGCAGGCATCTTTGACACTATATAAGGAAAAACAGCATTGACTGATTTCAGCTGGGCAGTTGCTTTAAACAGAACAGCATTTCCCATTCTCATGTGTAAACATAGATTCAAGGATGCCATTTGTCCCTAGCCATGATTCAGCTACAACTAGATATATGAAAAGACCTCTGACTGTAAATCTATAATTAACTTAAGTATAGGATTTTTTCCGACCTCTGGAGGAAAAAAACAAAAACAAACCAAAAAAAAAAAGCAAGCTCACTCCTTCCATGAAACATTTCAACTATAACTTCAATAAAGTTTTCCAGTCAGATGGAAAACTTTGACACAACAGGTTTGGTAATACAAGGCAAACAAAGCTGCACTGTAGCTGAGAAATACTTTTAGAGCTATGATTCTTTTTCTGGAGTTTACATAATGGTATATAAAGAAAGTTTCAAAAACAGAAAAAGAAATAGTTTCATGATGGATGCTGTAGATACATTAATTTAAAGATGATAATTCTATAATAATTTAATCAAAATAAACATTGAGTCTCAACATCATAAACTATATGCAATTTAAAATAAAGGCTAATCCCTGTCCACTAAACCAAGCTGTCTAAATGCAGGCAACATTAACAACACAGGAATTTATTATCCCCAATGTAGGAGATATATAAATCTGCTGACTTGCACTGTCAACCAACGCAAAACTCTCTTCTATTGAGTGCCTACTCAGCAGCATTTCTCTATTAACATCACAGCCTCTGAGGAAAAAAAGAAAAAGGCAAGTCCTTTAAGACCACCCAGGAATTCCTTGAATAAACAATATTTTTTGATGTCTCAATGAAACACATGCTTCATTCATTGCAGGGTACCCAGTTCTTCTCATATGCCATACACTATGCTAAGCATGGCCACAGGGCCTGACCTCAGAGAATTTAGTTGGAGAAAAGACACTCACTGCACAATCTTAGCTATGATACTTTCTAAAGCAGTGGTTCTCAATCAGAGACAATTCTGTCCTTCAGAAAATATATGGCAATGTCTGTAGACATTTTTGGTTGTCACACTGAGGGAATGTTACTGGCCTCTAATGGGCAGAGGCCAGGGATACTGCTAAAATCCTACAATGCACAGGACAACCCCACAGCAAAGAATTATCCCACCCAAAATGTCAACTGTGTCAAAGTTGAGAAACCCTTTTCTATCATAATAAAGAGCAAAAGGGAAGTGCAGGAGTATTAACAAATAAAATGCTAATGTAGTAGTTTAGGACTTTGTAAATCGAAATGTCAATCTGCACCATCCAATGAAAACTAATTAGGATAAGGATCACATTGTGGAGAATTCTGTAAATCAGACAATGGAGTTTAGACTTGATTCTTTCGGAATATGAAGCCAGTGACGGGTAATGAGACGAAAATACTTCTTTTAAAAAGATTACTCTGGTTGTGGTAGATAAGTTGAACTATAGGCATGAAAGCCAGCTTAGTAGAAAGTAAAAAAAGAAACTGATGATAACTCAAAGGAATAATCACTAGGACTGGATAAAATATGGCTTGAGGATCCTTAGATTTCAAATCTCAGGTTTAAATTTCAAACCAGAGGGTTCAACTTCCAATGATACTATGCATTTGCTTGTTTAAGTAAAATGAATCTTTGACTCATAATGCTTCACATAAAACTGAGTCACTTTTTAAAAGCTTAGTCCCTGGTTAAAAAATAATTGCAACTAAACAAATGTATGTATAACCAAAAAAGGAGGTGAGGAAAAAGATCACCCCTCAGGTTGGAAACATTTTACAAATTAAACAGCTAACCTCCTCAAGGCAAAAATATACCTACTCTGAATCTTAATACTATCACTCTATTTGCATGATAAGTTGTATTTTGACAAAGTTCAATACTTTCACTGCAACCATTTTATTTAAACTCCTCTGAGACATAAATTACGTCCAACTGATTGAAAAAGTATTTCTAGGGAAGAAAAAGACAGGAAATTTCTACAGAAATTTCTTTCTGCTGGACTGCAATAACTCAAACAACAAGCAAATTGCCAACCACAGAATAAAATCCAAATGCATTAGAACAAGGCATCAAAAGCCCTTTGTAACCTGGCTACCATCTACCTTTTTTGGGGTCTTTATGTCCAAAATTCATTTTCTTTCCGTGCCACCTCCCCAAATCACCCTTCGCTCTCACATTACCTATCTTGGTGAATGGTACCGCCCAGTTCCCTAAGCCAGAGAAACAGGTAATCATCCTAGACTATTCCTACCTCTCCATTCCCATAAGCAACAAGCCTCCAGTTTGAATTCCATCTTTTTAATATTGCTCAAATCTGATTCCTCCTCTTTACCACTGTCATTGTCTTACTTCAAGCCATGATTATGACAACAGCTTCCAAACACTAGTCTATTTCCTCATTATGTCCCTTTCCTCTGGACAGACTGAACTTTCTAAAACAAATCTGACCACATTATATTTCCTACACAAAACCTTTCAAAGCCTCCCCATAGCTTTCAGGATAGGATCCCAAACTCCTTAGCATGGTTTAAAAGGTGCTTCATATTTGACCCCCACCACTTTCCATTTCCTCCACTTCTCCATTACTAGAATTCCAGTCACAGTGAACCAGTCGTGACCTTTCACATGTCCAGATCTCCATGTCCTTACACCATATATCCTGCAAGATTTGGCCTCCCATTTCCTCCTCATAACCTGAAAACCTGACATAGGTATTTCTCCTCTAGTCATATAGTCGTGTGCTCACACAGTACACTAAAACATTGCAAGCCGCCCCTGCTTTACCTGTCTGGCCCCTCTTCTTCCATTCTATGAAAACTGTATTCTTAGCCACTCATTTACTATGTGCCTCACAAATATTAAGGGCTCGAGAAATAATTGGTGAATGATGAATGTGCTGGGCTGCCCTGTTTTTCACTTGAACAGGGATCCCTACAAAGAACTCCAACTGATAGCTCTGATAATAACCTCTACCTTAAAAAGTTATCCTCTCTTCATTGAGCTTATTCCTATTTATCCTTCAAAATTCATCTCAAACTTTGCTTCTGCAGAAGGGATTTTCCTGAGCCCCTTGTTATACACTTCCATAGCACCCTGTTGTTCTTTCCTAAAACTCATCGCATTTATAATAACTTCTTAAATGTCCTTGCAAACAGCTCCATGAAGACAGGATCTAGCTGGTTTTGTTTCAAAACTGCATTCCCTGGATGCGGCAGAGTGCCTGAGACAGAATAAACAGAATTTGTACCGAATTTAATTCTGTGGGGCAAGTAGAGCTCTCCAGTTACAACACGAGCAAAATGAGGCTCAGAGTTACATAAAGCAACTATGGCTACAGATAACTTAGCGATGGAGACAGACCAAACCCGAGCCATCTGATTTCAGGTCCAGAAGTATGCAAAAACCCTCAATAAAGTTAACTTGGCTCTTCGGAATAAAAGCAATAGACCAGGACGAAGCAGAGGCTATCTGAATGCAAATACAAGGACCTGTCCCTCTCTTTTTAAAAACTCCCAGGCATTGCAAACAGGGTGCATTACAAAAAAAAAGTTCTAAGCAGTGGGTGACCTTTAACTTGCTGCCCAAGAGAGGGCACCTACTGGAAGACCACTCCAAGGCAAAGAGAGGTTCCCAGGAAATGAATGGGGGAACGATCTGGGGCTGATAATCTAAGGAGTTGAAGTCATGATTCCGACTCTTTCCTTCACTCGCTATACGATCTTAGACCAGCTTCTTCTCTCCGGGGATCAATTTACCCATCTGTGTATGGGAACGAGATGAAGATTGGGAAGACTAAGGTCTTGGAGGTACCTTTCAATCAGGGCACCTTAAGAATCAGGTCTCCACTGAGGCTGATAACCAGGACTGCGAAATCCAGTGGAGGGGCCTCCTCAAGAGAGCCCGGCTCAGTTGGTCACCCCGGCCCCACCTCAAGAGACCGCGCCCAAGATCCCAGGTGGGCCTGAGGGCCTCCGCTCCTGCCCCCTCAGCAGGATTCACTACGCGCGCACAGACCAGAAAGGCCATTAACAACGCCAGGAGCCAGTGGGCCACGGAGGGGACCCCAATCTCTACCCAGCCGCGTACCCTCACCTCGGAGTTCTGCCTCACCTCCGGACTGCAAACAGCCGCTCTCCACTTCCGGCAAGAACAGCCCAGCAATCTTCGCGCGACCCACTTCCGGGCCCTCACTGGGCGCGGCCCCCCGCCGGAAATGAACGGCCAGCCGAGTCCTCAGGCTAGAAGAGGGCGGGGAAGGAAGTCCGGCTACCCGCTCGTGACTCCGCCCCCTATTCAACCCGCGCAGGAGACTCCCATCTAGCCTGGAGGGCACAGAGGAAAGAGCCCGCCCCCAAGGCGGGAGAAACCCTGGGGGCGTGCTCAAAAGTAGCCACGCCCTCTGTCCACAGTAGGACTCACCGGGGCCAATGAAGGGACGAAATTACTGGCTAAGCTCCACCTTCGGAGGAGGGCGTGTGAGTGGCCAACTCTCTTATCAGTGTGGTTTCAATGGCAAAGGCCGGTTCTTTTTCGCAGGAGTCAGGAAGGGATCTTGGACGGACTGAAGGGCAGGTTTTTCTGAGGGCGGTAGTCCCCTGCGGCCGTCAACTATCTGTGGGGGTAGAGCCTAAGCTCCGCCTCTCTCTGGGCGTGCATACCTTGGTTTCCCCGTTTGTGACGTGGGAAGGCCATTGGCTGGGCAGTGTTCTGGGTGGGCCTTCAGGGGCTGGGTGTGGGAAGGGGATTGGTGAGGGCGCATGGGCCCAGCCCGGCTCGCTCTGCCCGGGGTCGAAAAGGCGGAAGCGCGCCCCACTTCCTGTTTGTTCTGTGCGCTCTGTGACCATAGATGGTCAGGTCTGGGGCCGCGCGGAAGCCTCCGCCTCGCGGTTTTGGAGTCTTTTCTCCCTGCGCGCAGGGTGTGGTCTCAGAAAGAGCGGAATTAGAGAAGATCCTGCTCCTCTCCGCTAAACCTGACTTCTGAGACATCCTAGCCGGGGCTGGGCGTGGACAGCCGGCTGCCACTCAGGTCAGGGGAGGTTCTGCATGGTGGCTGCGGCCCATAGGGGAAACTTCGCTTCGGTGCTGCTCGGGCCCGGGGATCAGAGCTTTGTTCTCTCAAGGCTCACACTTTCCAACCAGTGATTATCCTCCCACAAAGATTTATTTCCAGAAAAAATTGGCGAGTACTTCACCTCCCACCCCTTCAGCTGAACCACTGTGACAGTTCCAAGCTTCAAGTTGAATGCAAGCGTTATATGCCAGAGTCACTCATTCAACAAATACAGTTTTTATAATTTATAAGAGCTACCATTTACTGCGTGCTGATTACATGCCAGGCCTGTACTGAATGCTTCAGTCGCATTTTTATTTCCTATTAATAAGAACTCTCCGCGGTCGGTACCATTATGGCCTCCAGTTTTCAAATGAGGAAGCGGACTTACTTGGCCAAAGCCACAAAGTAACTGTTGTAACTTTGAAGGGAACACATCTATATGACTCTAAATCCCATGATTTTAACCTCTCTATATAGACCACACTGGAATCATTTGCAGCAGTTTTGAGACAGTGGTGCTTCTGAATGGGGAGACATCCTGGGTTTGAATCCTGGCTTAGACGCTTTACTAGGGGTCGGACTTATCGAGTTACCTAACTTCTCTGAACCCGGGCCTCTTTTTAATTTTATGACTCCTACTGTATATAAAAGAAAAACAACAAGACAAGATATTGTACAAAAATTGTCGTACATTTTAAATAGTTACATTTAACAAAAAACACTGTCACAAGCACATGCACATACAAACCTTGACTTTATTCAGACATAACCATCAAAAGGTTATATAGCATCCCTGGCCCTCATTGGAATCAGCTCTACATTTAGCCTTTAAAATCTCTTTCTCAGAGACAGGAAATACATAGACCATATATTTCTCCTAGAGAAAGCAGAGAGAGGAGAAAACAGGAAGGGGAAGGAAGGAGGGAAGCAAGTTTTCCTAGAATGGGGATAATAATTCATAAGGTTATAATGAGAAACAAGCCATAACCTATGTGAAACCACTTTGTAAAATGATTTTCTGTAAAGAATGTACACATGAGTAAGTCAACCCCTGCCCCTAAAAAACTTCTAATCTTTTAAGGAGTCTAAACATATGCACTTCTATCTCTAGTGGGAGGCAATATAAGAGTATCTGTTACTTTTATTTATTCATTCATTTATTTATACACTGAAAAAAATTGAGTTCTTTCTCTGCGCTAAGCGCCCTAATACTTTGTACCAGCACAACTAGGGGCACAGCAGTGGACAAATCAGTCCCTGTCAGTGCCCTCATAGAATTTACAGTCTCTTGTAGAAATAGCTATTGCCATCTAGGGTGGTCATCAGAACATGTGCTAACTACTGACTTCTAGCTTTATCCTTCTCACTGATCTTGCCCAGTGCCCCATGCCTCATCCATGGTGGGCCTTCATCAAGCACATATTTAGTGAAACCTTTAAATTTAGAATAGTTATTTACTGGGCTGCAATAGATGGGTAAAACATTGCAAAGCAAACATGAGTTAATAGTTGTGGAGATAGCGATCTGTGACTGGCCAGGTGAGAGGTTCTTGTAGGAGAGGAATAAGATAAGGCTGGGGGGAAAAAAAAAGGTCGAGCAAGCTGTCCCAGGCAAGACAGGTAAAACCTTAATGTGAAAGCAAAGAAAGAACTGGTCAGATTGCATTTTAGAAATACAACTCTAGCTGCAGTGTAGAACATGGGCTTGAGTGTGCAAAAAAAGCAGGGAGATCTGTTAGAAGATAGAAACAAAAAATGTATCAAGGAACTGAATCAAGGCTGTGGTGTGGGGATGCAGGAGAAAGGACAATGCCGAAGACACCATTCTTATAAAGGAGATGGTGAGGGGGATGATGATAAGGAGGAAGACAAATGGAAAGGGGATGATTTGAATGTAAACCTCCAGACTATCTCTAGTTCTTCAGGGATATACTCCCATTGAATATTAGTTTTCCTTCCTGGCAGTGTTAAGGGTGGAAAATTTTCAAGTGAGCAAACTAGCTAAGTCAGCTACAGGGGAGAAATATCTTTAGATATCAGAAGTTGTCCTACTTGCTTGTGTGTGGTTTAGGAAGTGTATTGTATAAAATATGTAGATGGCCAATGTCTGCTTCTGTAATCCATTTACTTGTTAATTAAGGGTGTTGTTCCGGGCAAAGATATGCTAAAAGCCAACTTCCACTTCTGTAATCTGCTGGCTTGTTCAGGAGACCACCAGGATATGGTCTTAAGCTTTATCAGCTGCCTGCTCTGAAAGCTCGGGGCTGATCTCCTCTAGCCCTGCGTGGTAGAGAGTCAGTCGCCGGCCGGCTAATAAAGGCTCATAATTAATCTCGATTGGCTCCGTGGGTCTCAGAATCGTTCGCGCCATAACAGCAGGTTTCACAATCCTAATTAAATAATTACTTGTGCCATCACCTTTTAATCTTGTCTTTCTCTGTAAGTACCTCAGAGTCCTTGCCTCTTTGGCTCCAAAATTGATACTGATAGATATTTATGGAAATTTTGACTAAATAAAAAGGATGAGAGGGGCCAAGGTTTCTCTGAGACTTGGAGAATGGGTGAATAGAAGGTGGAAAACTGGATCTGGGTTTTGGGGTTTTGAGCCTCACACTTCAAAATCCAGCCTAGGGAAGAGATAGGGAGAAAGGAGTGCAATTAATCATTTTTGCAGGCAAGAACTGCCATCAGAGTGTTGATCGATTCTCACAGATGCCTCCTCTTTGTACATTTTGCCACTTTCTCATTTTGCCTAGATTTCATCACATTCTAAACCTGCAGAATTGCTTTGTCTCTAAAGATACCACCCCAGATTCTTTCTTATCAAGGTTTCAGACACAGAAGTCTGGCAGTTCATCTGGAGTGTTTCCCAGCCTGGCTCAGAGGATTGCCTGCATCTGTGCAGCCTGGCTCAGAGCCTGTTTGCATATGGGCATATCCTGTATCCTCCTGCCAGAAAGGGCTGATGACAGACAATAATCTATATGAGCCCATCTTTCTTCCTCTCCTAGAATGGACCCCAACCTGAGTTAGGGTCCCAGGTTCAAAAGTTGCAAGTTAGCAAAAGAAATATTGGCAATATAATGTAGTGGGTTAAAATCTGGCTTTGGCGTTACTCTGACCTAAAGCTGTATCTCGACTCTGCCACTTGCTAACTGTGAGGTCTTGAGCAAGTCAGTTGATCTCAGAGAAGGATATTAATACCCATCTTGAATGGTTGATATCATGATTAGGAGAGAAAATTCATAAAATACTTGGCTCACAGTAAATACTCAATGAGTAGTAACAATTATTCAATAATTTCTGGTGAAGACCCCTAGAAAGCAGAATAAGATCTGATGTGTTAACACACTGGATGATATCACTATAACCTCTGATGCATCACAAAAAAGTTGCCCCACAGTGTCTGCTTCTTTATATCACTGTCTTTTGATTCAAAGTCCAGGCCTGTGCCCTTGGCTGAATGCTTTTGGCTGCAGATAGAAAACTTGACGGTGGTGACATTTTAAAAACAGGTTTTTTTCTCACATACAAGAAGAATAGAGGTAGGAAGTTTTTACTGGCTCAGTTATATCACTGATTCAATTTGATTTACCTTTATAGTTGCAAGTTGGCTGTTATAGCCCAAGTCATCATTGTGTTTAAGAGAAAAAAGAACAGGAAGGTGCAGTATGTGAAACTAGAAAGCTAAAGTTTTCTAAGGAACTCCAAAAGCATACCCTGCTTCCTGTCTCATAGCCATAACCAGTAGTCAACAAATATTTCAACTTCCTTGCCCCTCAGAGGGAGACTTCCAAGGTATTCATTTCATACTGTTTCTAAGGGTCCCCAGAGGGACTGAACCCCAGTTTCCCACAGCAATAACCCTCTTATTTATAAACCCTTTACTGGCTTTTCTCCCTTCCCCAACTCACTTGTCTCAGGGTACACAAACTAAAGAGAATGGAATTGGCTAAGTCTTTGACACTAGCAAAGTGACGGTGAGCATTGTCAGCTTTGGTGGTGTAAGGTGTTCTCTCTCTCTCTCTCTCTCTCTCTCTCTCTCTCTGTCTCTCTCTCTGTCTCTGTCTCTGTCTCTGTCTCTCTCTCTCACACACACACATCTCTCTCTCTCTCCCTGCCCCTCTCCCTCCCTGTTTGGGATATTGCCCAAATATATGAAG